CGGAAAAATATAATTTATTTTTAATTTAAAATACTTTTAACCACTAAACCTTTTTAAATCTTTTTTTTTTTAATTTGATAAAACTTTTGACATAATGTTTTTTATTTTTAATTAAATTAATTTCATCAACAATCTTTTTTAAATGTAACTTCTTTTTTGGTATATTTGTTTCATTTTATAGATATAAGTATTTTTTTTCAAAAAATGTGTTAGCTTCATTCTGAAAAAGTTTTAAGAAGCAATCCAGAGCTAGAAGACGAATTGAAGAAGGTTCTGCGCCAAAACGTCTAAAGTCTAGAAGACCAGCCTMTGTGCTAAAGAGTCCCGRATAACCAGAGCTTCYTTCAGAAACTACAGAGCTTCTGTGAAGACCAGAGCCTCWGTGAGGTTCTATRCGGAGCAGAGTTCTTGGACTCCAAGTCCCTTGGACCAGAGCCCCTCTGTGAAGACCAGAGCTTCTGTGAGTGCTCACAGAGCCTCTGGTGATACTAACAGAGCCTCTGTTCTATTTGACAAGAGACTCTCTGGCTATGCCGTCCTCTGTTATCTTTTAGATGACTACCTTCAGTTTTCTTATTCTGGATAAGGCTATTCCTGTGCTGGATAGCATTAATCTTATCCAGGTTTGGTAGGTTATTGCCTATAAAATAGAGTGTTTCAGATAGAGAAAATTTTTATTTTAAGAGCACCAAGAGAATTCTCTTTGTAATAGATAGATTCAATATCATATGAGAGTCGATTAGGGTTTCTTGAGAGTTTGTAATTTCTTTTATCAATAAAAGAAAAGCAGCCGCTATTTCTCTGTTTAATCTTCTTGTTTACTTTCTCTTACAAACTTCTAGTGTAAATTGTTCAACCTTCAGATCTGGGTTATAACAAGTGGTATCAGAGCCAAATCGATTTCTTAATCGATACGATCTGTCTGAAGTAGTTCGATTTTCTTGAAACAATCTCTATCTTGAACTTTTGCTGTTCGACTGTTCTTCGAACCCAGAAACTCGTCGATTCATCTACTGCTTAACGTCTTTTCAAATTCTTTTTACAGGGATTTGTTCTTAGGATGAACTCGAACCTGTTTTGCTCTTAGATCTTTCAGATCTGTGAGTTTCCTGGGAACAGTCGACTATTTTCTGCTCTGTTAGAGTCAAATCTGCGCAAAGGCGCCAAGCAAATGTTCTTGATTTTCTTAGCCTAAGGCAATTTTATGAGTTTTGTTTCATCTTCTCTTTTATTTTGGTTTCTGAATCTGTATCAGCTTACTATTTCTCTTGTTTGTAAACACTTAATCTCTCACGTCTATGGCAGTTTCTACTCATTTCTCGCTCTCAAAATCTTCAACAGCGGCTCAGTCAATGTTCTTGACCTGCTGTTTCTTGAAGTTAATGTGCTTCACTGTAAAAATCTACTCTCCTAGTTTAATTTCTAAAAGTGTTTGTCTCTGTTTTAGCTCTAATGCTGAAATCTTACTCATCTTGCGGTTTTTGGATAGATTCATTGTCTTAAGACTGATTGCACTGTTTTGTCATGTAATCCACACACTTTTATGTCCCTTTAAGGATGATTCTGCTACTTCTGTGTGGAGTAGCAGTTCTGCTCTTCAAAGTCTGTGTTGGGTTGTAAGCAGGTTAAAGCTGCACATCGTGCAATTAGTGGTGCTGAAGAGTCACGGTGAATCTGATGAGAACCAAGAGATGAAAATGAAGACCACAGAGCTACTATCAGAGGGGAGTTTGAAGTTGCAATCTCGAGCTGTCAAAATAAGACCAAGTGGGTGTGCCGTCATCTCCCTCCGTCTAAACACACTAAAGCTTCTGCCAAGGAAGTAAAGGAGAAAATATTACTTTTTTGAAGACTTCATGAAGATGCTTGCTTCATAAAACTTTGAGGGGAGATTGTTAGCTTCATTCTGAAGCTAATGATAGCTTTGAAAAAGTTTTAAGAAGCAATCCAGAGCTAGAAGACGAATTGAAGAAGGTTCTGCGCCAAAACGTCTAAAGTCTAGAAGACCAGCCTCTGTGCTAAAGAGTCCCGGATAACCAGAGCTTCCTTCAGAAACTACAGAGCTTCTGTGAAGACCAGAGCCTCAGTGAGGTTCTAT